TGGCGAGGCAACCATTTCAGGGCAGGAAGCTGCCATTTTGGTTCAGAGTGTGTCAGCTGCTTTGGGAAGATACATATCCCAGTGGTCCCAGTGGCCCTCAGATGGAACTGGGGTGCCACTGAAGTGGCTGACAGATTGGTGGAGTCAGCAGCGTTCCAGAGAGTCGGGGAGATTGAGTGAATACCGTTTCTATTCTAGAAGTTTGCAAATGTGAGTGTGTGTGTTTTGAAGGGTCTTCTATGGACTGGATTATTTATTCTCAGCCCTTCTCAGGCAGGTGATGATATAATGCTCACTATAACAGCCTTTTCTGTGCTGTGATACAAACTCAGTTTGTTTGTTTAACATTCATCTACTTGTAAATAATTACATTTAATTTTTCTGGCTATTTTAATTATTAAAAAAAAAAGAAAAACATCTCATCTTGTCTGAAAAAATCTCAAATTCATAATAGAAAATCATTTAATAATATTACAATAACATATCATATCATGCAATGACATATTTAAGGGTGATATTGATATTCTTTGAATGAGTACAATGTACAAAACCTCTCTAGTCTAGAGCTGCCTGGAAAAGATGACCCTAATCTGCTGACCTGCTGGGGATCATACATCGATCAGGCATAACATTTTGACCACTGACAGGTGGTCATGGGGCCTGTTACTGTGTGGGATACATTAGGGAGCAAGTGAACATTTTGCCCTCAACGTTGTTTTAGAAGCAGGAAAAATAAGGATTTGAGTTGGACCAGAGCCAAATGGGACCAAACTGTGATGGCTAGACCAATGGATCAATAGAAGCTATGGAAGAAGGTAGCCTGGTCTGGGGTATCACATAGATGATGGGGTAAGTGCGCGTCACTCATCTGGGAAACACCAGGATGCACTAGGGGAAGAAGGCAAGCCGGTGAAGGCAGTGTGATGCTTTGGGCAATGTTCTTCTAGGAAACTTTGACACGTACCACCTATCTAAGCATTGTTGTACACCATGTACACCCTTAATGGAGAGGATAATGCACCCTGCCACAAAGAAAAATAGGTTCAGGAATGGTTTGAGGAGAACAACAACAAGTTTGAGGCGTTGACTTGACTTCCAAATTCCCCAGATCTCAACTGATCAAGCATTTGTGGGATGTGCTGGACAAACAAACCCAACATCTCGCATCTTACAGGACTTAAAAGGATCTGCAAGATAAAATAGCACACCTTCTACCTTCATGTAGTCCACGCTTCGACAGGTCAGGGCTGTTTAGGCAACAGCACAATATTAGGCACGTGATCATAATGTTATGCCTTTTCGGTGTACAAAATAATGTTTAAAATGACTGAAAGTTCTACAGGAGATTCAGGGTGGCTGAATTATTTCAAAGTGGAGGGGCAATAAATAGATGATATAATTTCCCTGCTCATAGTTGGTAACAAATGAATGAATGAATAATGTAATGACATGTGAAAAGTTTCAAATATACAGACATAATATGTCCTCTTAAGTAGCAAGTTACCATTTAAAACTAATGTTTTGTGTTGAGTAATGATAAGGAAACGCAACAGCTGGACAATAACGCAAAGATTTAGCATGGCTGCTATCCTCGCTAATAAAAAGGAGATATTTAACAATGAACTTAAGGAGAAAAAAACGCCAAAGCAACCTTTTATATCTGCCTGATTTCGTTCATCTAAAGTCTTAGTCGTATGTGACCGAAGTTATTATGACTGTGTACCATCAATGTTTGAAATGATCACATCAAAGACGGGGACCAGATCTGAGACTACTCAGTCAGTTGTCATCTTCAAAGCAACTTTGGTGTGTCAAGAAGGCGATAAAACAGGGACAAAACGGCAATAAGAGGCAGTCGGCGTGCTGTTGATTTTTCCTTTGAATTGGGTCAAGTTGGCACTTACATGCAATGTGTTTGCAATAAAACAGAGAATAACTGTGATAAATCACAAATCTGTGGATGTTTGTTGCCGTCCATATCAGATGTTTAGTATAGAAAAGAGTCCCTGTATGAAGTAGCGTGAATGGGTGATTGAGCCATGTTGTGTAAAGCGCTGTGAGCACTTACAGTAGACAAGCGCTATATAAGATCCACGTGTTAATGAGGATATTGTTACTGTACCAAATGCGTGCATTGGTCTGGGTTTTCTTCTTTCAGGTTCTCCCTTTAGTGGTTGCCTCCGTCTCACACTATCCCTTTCCTTCTCTCTGGCAGCTTCCGTATTTAACATGCCCAATATATCCACTATCCCTCCTCTGCACATGTCCAAACAATCTCAGCCTTGCTTCTCTAACTTTCTCTCCAAACTGGTCAACCTCAGCTAAGCTCTGATGGACTCATTTTTAATCTTGTCTGGTCAGTCCCAAAAAAATCTCTGGTGTCTTCAGCTCCTCCTCTAGTCTTTTTCTCAGTTCCACCATCTCCAAACAATACATCCTTTCCTTTCACTCATGCTGCTGTCCTTCTGTGACAAGTTACCCTGACACTCATCTCCTCCCACTTCACGCTGCCTACATCCTCTTCTTCACCTCTCTTGTGCCCTTTCCTTTGCTCTGGATGGTTGATCCCAGGTATTGAAACTAATATACCTTCACTACCTGCAGCTTCACTGTCATACCTGTCTCCCTCTCATTCACACGCATGTATTGTGCCTTGTTTCTACAGACTTTCACTCCTCTTGTCTCCAGAGCATGCCTCCACCTCTCTTTCACCTGCTTCTTACTCTCATGTACAGATCATCCTTCTCTCTCACTGAGTCCGAACACAACTTCCATATCTCTGCTTTCTTTGTTTTAGCCAACAATAGATCAGTTTCCACCAGCACCTTGTTGGCAAACAGCACCGGAGGAGGTCATTTTTAACTCGGGGCCCCAACCGATCTGGTATGGAAATCTCATTCTTGATGTTTTTGTTTGATTTTATAAAGATTTTACACCATCATGATGCTACCTTTGACATATATTTGAGTTTGGGCTAGACGGGGAGCATTGATAAATGGGATAAAGGCAACAGAACCCTGGAAAAAAGCCATGGAGAGATGATTGAATTATGTCCTGACGTCTGTGTAGAAATGTCTGAAACACTGGAACCGGCTCTGCTCACTGTAAAAAGGAAAGCAAGATGTATCCTTGTATGTGCCTTGCATACAAGGATACTCCTCCTCCCCTCCCTCCATCGCTCCATTAAGTTCAGTTCAGTTCTGCTCTGCTTCAATAAAATCCCAGTATTACTGTGGAGCAGGAATATGTGGCTCGTCTCTAAACACTCAGAGCGGGGACTGAATAAAGAGCGACAGGACAGAGCCAAAGTTTTAGCACTGCGCTCACAGCTTTGAGCCATCCAGTCATGCCAATTACACACTCATTCTGATAACATCTCCCCCGTCTTTCCAAATAAATAAACACTCCTAGAGGCAATTATCACACACACATATCAGCCACAAAATAAGACATGCTTTTGGTGTAAAAAGCATAATTTACAGTTAATTGCCTGCCACAAACCTTAGTCACTCAGGTTTGTGTGTTTCATTATTTGAAGGAGCAGATGCCAATCTGTCTGCCTTTATAAATTTAATAGCAATTAGTTGCAGGCCTTTCTCCAATCTGTTCGAGACTGACTCTTGCCAGTTAAGGTTGAAATGAGACAGGCTGTCTCCCACCAGGTGAACTGTGCAGTCCTTGCTACTGCAAGCATCCAGAGGTTGAGGGTGCCGCACGCTCAAATTCCAGGTGAAAATGGGTCATTGAAACTACTTGCTATTGGTCCCAGGTAACAAGAAAATTCAATGTAAGCACTTCGCAACTTCTGATTATTCTGGGTCTCCTAAAAGTTTTCACTTTCACTTGCATTTGAGGCCCTACAGTGAACCGGGTGAACTCCAAAGAGCTGCCAAACAGATCACAGGTAAGATTGTTTGGTCGAATACCGTTTCTAAGTTCTAAGATGAACTTTTAAACTCAAAACATACACATGTAATTTCCTCTTGTCTCTTACCATGCAGATGGTAATGCATGTGTGCCATCTGTGCATTTCTCTCCCTGTTTCTTTGTTGACTGTTACAGGCTTCATCCATTTGCCCCATGCTCTTTAGCTTTTTAAAAAATACTTCAAGGGTGTATCTTGGTGGCATGTGTGCTTGTGTGCGTGTGGGTGTGATGAGGTCGTGGTCAGTTGACAGCCAAAGGGCAGGGTCATCTTCAGTTGATAACCTGTCAGCGATGACTCTCTGATCTAACTGGCTCTCTCGTACTTTTCATGTTCTTCCTCCCCCACCTTTATGGTCCCAGCTGCCACTCCTCTCTAACCTCTGACCCAAGCCCAAGGCCAAGGTTGGGAGGTTGTTGCCACGGCAACAAAACAGGCCCGCAGCGCCTGGCTGCTGACCCCGGGAGCCCCAAGTAACCCTAACGATCATAATTTGCTCCCCTCTGCCCCCTGCCAGCTCATCCATGAATACCATTTGGAGGAGCGAAGAGGGTGATGCCGGGAACAACGGACGGATCGGCAGGCTGATGGGCAGAACAATAGAACGAACAAAAGAAGCACGCGTGCGCCACTGAAAGGGAGAGCTTTAGAAATCAGTTAAGATGGCCTTTTGACCCCCTTCCTCTCTTTCGGTTTAAGAAAGACGGTTTAGATGCATATCACCTAAAAAGATGGTTTTGCTTGACTAAACTGCACAAGAGGTTGCTACTCCAGACACTGATTTTTAATTGCCATTCAAATAATAAAGAAAGCTCCAAACTACCACTTAGACTGCTGCAACACTCAAAAAGGTTCCTATATACTGATAAAACCTATATATGATGACTCAGTCATATTTATATACATGCATTACGTTAGTCTTTTAACTGGAAAGGTGTGTGAGACTTTCTTCACATTTTTCAAGAGTCGCTCCGTGGCTCCTGCTTTACTTGGCTTATAGTTTGGTTATATGCAATCCCATACTTGAGTAAATATAATAATAAAACCTCCTGATGTGTGTGAGGGGGTATCATACCTGCTGGAAGGCCACTTTACTCTTCAGCGCAATCTCCTGCTGAGTGGGGTTGGATGTGTAAATGGCTGAACGATACTGAGTACCTTGGTCATTGTGCTGCTTCATACCTGCATAAAACACACATACACACACACACACAAAGGAAAATAAGACACCCCACAAAAATGCATGAAGCACCACAATCAGAGCAGACACAATGTGATTTGCATGCAAAAGGCTTTCATAATTATGTCATCATCCTGCGTCTTGAATTCATGAGGCCGAATGAATTCAAAGTTCACAGCAGATTCAGGCTTTCATTAGGAAGGCCTGAGTCGTGTAGGTGTATGGGCAAATGAAGGTGGACACATTTTCCTCTTCTTTGTCATCTATGTGACAGTGTCAAACATTTTCATCAGCTTTACGTCAGAGTGTTTGGGAGGATATCCAGGTATACTGTAACTTGATTAGGGGGCCAAACAGCTGCCATCCTTTCTATGCTTTTCAAATGCTAAACTCCTGAGCAGCTCAGACATCCGTGGACACATCTCCCACTCTGCATTTGTTTCCTTTCTTTACTGAAGTGTGTCATTCTTGTCTTCTTCTATCTTTCTAAATCCTTGTCTTTTTCAGTCATTGGCGTTTTGTTATGGGCTTGAATCACTGATACATGTGTTCTTGTTTAGAGGCCTGTCAGATATGCCTTTCAGCCTGATTTTGATGGTGGATTAGTTCATGTGGACAACACGTTTACTCCTCCTTCCAGCCACTCTCATTTTACTGCACTTTTGGCTACTGGTCAGCGATTGGCAAGCAAAACAAATGGTTAATTCTTACATTTTAAAGCTTGTCATGTTTCTGTCACCATATTCAGAACATTTTGCTGTGTCTTTGTCATGTAGAGGTAATATGCTTTTGTGTCTCCTTCCCTTTCTCTTTTTCTTGTTTTAACACAGATTTTTCTTGGGCACCATATCCTACATGGCCAGAATGCAGCAGCATGGGATCAAACTGGCGTGAACATTTTGGCAAACATCTGCCTCTTCAGACATCTGGCAAGAAGCAACTCTTGAAAAAAGTCACACAACATTTTGAAACAACAGTTTTGCTCATTTGTGTTGTATTTTGAAACTGTGCTGGGCCCTGTACCAAAGCAAGGCAATCGGACTCAGTAAGTCAACCCAGGACTTCCAAATCTAGCTACGAGTGTGTTGACATGAAAGGCATTGCAAATGTGGGCAGGTCTACTGACAGAAGAGCAACTGATCTTACAAAGAAAGATAATGCAATGATATTAGAAAAATATTTAGAGAATAAACACATATAAAACAGACTGCCACAGACAATGTGTGCTAGTATGAGAGTGTGTGTGTGAGAGGAAAAGTGCTGAACAGTAGTTTAGTATTAAAAGCCCTGTATGAATGTGTGAGCACTTTAAGCACTTTTGTCAGTAAGACTGGAAAACACCTCCCACATTAATAAAGTCTAGCCTATTTGAAGCTGGGAAGAAAAGCCGGAAAAAATACAGACTGTGTGAGGTACGAGAATTATTGATATCACAGTTTTATAATGGAAGACGTGGGAGAAAACTTGATTTCAATATTCTGTTAAATTCCTTTAACATTTTTAATTTAAGTATGACAGTTTTAGGATTTTTTTTCACATTCAAAAATTTAGTGTAAGATCCACAAGTACAAATAGCTGTCCTGTTTTAAATTTGTATATTAATGCTTATAGAACAAAACAACTGTTGTAAAATAGTTTACAGCCAACAGGGAAGAAGCATAAAGGAATAAAAGTGCATTAAGAATCTATATTTATCACTAAGGCTCAGGAGGGAAAAGCAAAGACTTTGGACGCTCTTAAAAAATTCAGCTCCTCCTTCTATCTCTGGATCCATGAATGCAATGGTAAAGCTATTTTCCATAGATCTGCTTGATCTTTATGTGGTGATTTCATAGCTGCAGATCTCTAATGTTGAACATTACCTGTTCCAGAGGAGGTTAGGTCTGCAGCACAAGTTACCATGGTGATATACTCTCGCAAAAAGTAAACCACCTTCAAAATCTGATTTACCCCTAAAATCACAAGTTGTAAAAGCAACCAACAAAGGTGAGAATGGTCTTGCTTTTGAAGTTACGTTACAGACATCAACAATAACAAAATTCCCATATTGTACATTTGTGTTGTTTGTTCAAACCAAAACAATGAGCTGAAAGATGGTAAAGAGATGATAAGGGCTAGTTCGTCACTAAGAATGAAACTGCTCTCATTACAAGTGTTCCTCAAACCAATTGTTAACGTAAAAATAATGGTTACAGCCTTGTGAGTTTGAATAATGGTGGCTTCAGTTGTCTTTAGGTGTTTTTTTTTGGGGGGGGGGGGATTGGTTTGCTGAGCTGGTCAGTGCAGCACTTCTTTTTAAAAGTGCATCAGACTTTCAATTTCCCCTCTCCTAAAGATTTCCTATCTCTCCGATAGGTTTAACTTTTCAGCCTAATGATGGCCTTCTTCACTTGCATCAATAGCTCTTTGGACCTGGAGCTGACAGCTCCAGTAAACAGATAGAAAATGTAAATTCCACATTTTAAAGCAACTCCAGATCTATTATCCGCTTAATTTATCATGGAAAAACAAAGGTACAGGTCTCACCTGGTCACAGAGCTTCTTGTAAGTCAACTGTCCAATTTCTTTTTCAGCCTATTATGTGGAACTATGTATGAAAATGGCAAAACGACAAAAAAAAACGTGTCATACTTCAAATATTTACGTCACTAAATGTAAGGTTTGTTGTACGTGTAAGGTAAAACAACACACTGTAAGCGATGTCTGTTGTTACATCTCAGACGTGGGTGTTCAATCTATACTGTGGCAGAATAACAATTTCCACTCACTGTACGGACAAGATATCTCCCTGACACAGTGATCTGCATATCGTGTTCTCTTTAGATTAAATGCTACCTTACATCATAGAGTGTCACAACCTATCTGTGACACAGTCTGTTCAGGCATAATGGCTATAAGTATTCATCTGGTCTTCATTCAAATCAGAGCAGACAAGCAGGCATTGACTGCTCTCCGACACACGTTGAATAAACTCACTGTTACTAATGTTGCTGCCTTGAGGAATTTGCTTCACTGAATATTTCTGGAACAATATCAAATGCTCGTACACTTAAAACATGATCTAAAAACAAAGAGAAGGCATACATATCGTAAATGCAATACAAATAAATACATTTGAAATCGGCAATCCTAAGTAAAAGTGACATACAGGTAAATTTTACGACAGTGCATACTTGGAGTAACTTGGATAGTGAGTGAAATAAAATGAACACATAACTGCTCTGACCTTCAGTAAAAACCAACTAATAGTAATTAAGTTTCAAAATGTCACCCTGTTGCTTGGAATCAGTGTGTGTATGTTCTCTATGATCCACCAGCTTGGAACTCAAATACAAATATTCTGCAATTTTGTAATATTTTCTAATTTTACCTTTTTATATCTTTAATTTAGCATTTACTGCATCTATACCCTCAAACTCCATCTTCCGTAAACCTGCATTGTGCACCCCCCACCCTCCAGCACTGCTGTTCAGTGCAAATGGTTGCCCCTCTATCAAAGGCTACCAAATCAATCTTCCATTGGCTTCTCACTCAGAGTCTTTCCTCTGATTGGTTAACTCGAAGGGGTTTTGCAGCTTGGCGCTTCCCTCTGACCTATCCTGCTGACCTGTGGTCCTGAGCATGCTGACCGCACACAGAGCACCGCTTGCATATGCACGTGCATGGTGTCGTATGCAGCAACACATATATTAATTATGCCAGGGAACACCATCAAATATCTCGAAATTTACTCCGCTTTAATTTGATTAAAGCTTTTTTTTCCCCTTATACAGCTGAACATAATTAATTTTCCACCTTACAGAAACAGTGGAAGCTTAATATCTCACATAAAAAAGTAAAGATGAAAAAGGCTTCTCATCACAAAGAAGTGGTAGACGATATGGAATATCAGAGAAAAGCCAAGAGACAAACACCCTGGAGTGGTAATTGCAGCTTCCAACACAATTAAGTTCTGAGATCCATCCACCATCAGAAGGAGTCACTCCCTAATCAAAATATTAACACCATCCAAAATATGAGCCTAGCCTTTGATTATACTAACTCCAAATCCATCCCCATAAGCATTCAGCCCTCAAAGAACTATGATGGCAAAAAAAAAAACAGGAGGGGGGAAACACCCCAAAAACTCTTGATTCTCCCCTCCCGCCTCCATCGTCTCTCTCAGTCTCTCCATTTTTAACAGCCCCCTTCGTTATTTTCTCCATCCATCAAAGGCAGCAGTAATTATTAATGAGAGCCTCCCTGTTCACTCTGCATTATGCATGAGAGCCTTGCCTCTGAAAGCAGAGGGTAATGGGGGTGGACAGAAGAGGAGGGGCTACAGGTGACACATGTACACACACACAAACACACTCATCCACATATATATATATATAGATATATATCTACAGGGCAGCACGTTGGCACGGTGGATAGCACTGTTGCCGCACAGCAAGAAGGTCCTGAGTTCAATTCCACCATCAGGCACCATCAGGCAGGGGTCTTTCTGTGTCGACTTTGCATGTTCTCCCTGTGTTTGTGTGGGTCCTCCCACACTCCAAAAACCTGCAGTTAATCTAAATTGCCCATAGGTGTCAATGTGAGTGCGAATGGTTGTCTGTGTCTCTATGTGTTAGGGTGTACCCTGCCTCTTGCCCTATGAGAGCTGGGATAGAATCCAGCACCTCCCTCGACCCTGGAAAGGATAAACGGAAGTGAATGGATAGATATGAACACTGCCTCTCTGGGTTACTGATGTATGCCTGCAACCCCCCCCCTCCCTGACCAAATGAGAACCTTTAAAATGTATCTTTTAACACAAATGGAAGCCACAATGAGAAAAAGTGGGAGGGTGGAAGTCTCACAGGGAGTAGCTACTCTCTTCAAGAGACGCTTGCACACAAACCAGCGTATGCAGAAGCAAACTCTTCTGGGTCTTGTTGCGTTTAAACCTGCTGAGATTTCTTGCAACTCTATACAATTTCTTCCAATGTTTGTCCTTGCACACACACACACACACACA